TTTATTTATTTATTTATTTATTTTTGGTACCGGGGATCGAACTCAGGTCCTTGCGCTTGCGAGGCAGGCGGCGGAACCACTGGGCTAAATCCCCAGCCCCTGTGGTTATTTTATACTCTAGTTATTTTCCTGGGAGTACAAAGTCAAAATATCTAGTACAGTTTGCATTCATAACTGAAAAATTGATTTGAATGTGAAATTACCTCTCTCCAGATGTGGAAATATAAAGCAGAAATATATCAAACCGGTCCACAAATATATGAATGCATGCACATAAGAACACATGAAAAAAGGTGTATCTTGTATACATACAAGACTTAGTGTTGCCTCATTATATTTATATAATAATGGTAATACTAATATTAAAGGAAATTGCGTGGCTGTCAACTAATACCTTACTGCATGTGTCCCGGCCTCTGTGGTTATCTGGCTATGAAAAGCCAACAGGAATCTGACCGCAACAGCATCTCTAGATGGATAGCGAGGGCTGGGGATTTAGCTCAGTGGTTCTGCCGCCTGCCTTGCAAGCGCAAGGACCCGAGTTCAATCCCCGGTACCAAAAAGAAAAGAAAAAGAAATAGATGGATAGCGAGAGCGTGTGACATTTTAGAAGTGAGCAGGAAACCTGGGTTTCCCTCGGAAGGAGACATGGAAAGCTCGGGTCCGAAAAGACCGAGATTCTCCCGGCTGGTCTAGGAAGCCTTCTGGGGTTTTTCAAGTCAAATGGGGGGGGGGGGCGAGGTGATGGTGGCTATTCCAAGGAAAACACCCAAGGAAGAGAAGAAATGAAGTACCTCTCTAGCAACCCTCCCTTTTTCCCAGCATCCGCCGGCCCCAAGCCGGGAGCCGCGGGAAGTCGGACTCGGCGCTGTCCGCGGTGCTGAACGCCCCTCGCGCCCACTCACCGGCCAGCACTGCGGCTCCCAGGAGGCCAAGAAGCGCTGCCGGCTGCATGGCCCGGCCCGGCTGAACCGGAGAAGCGGGATGCAGAAGGAAGGTGGTCAGGATGCGGCAGGAAGGCGAGATGGACGTGCTCCGGGAAGCCAGCGGTGCGTCCTGTCCCCGCGGTGTGGCGCGGTTGGCGCAGGCCTCACTCTTTTAAAGGGCAGGCGGGGGCCGCGAGGCCTGGAGGGGCAAGCAGCCGGGAGGAGGCGCCCCCTCGCTCAGCCTGACGTCACGAAACAGCCCTCAGGGCGCAGCGCGAGTGGGCGGAAATTTACGCCAGTCCTAGCACCAGGGCGAGCAGGGTCTGGAGAGCTGGTGGGCAGAAAGGCGCAGGAAGCAACGGGAAGGGAAGGGAGATGGGAGGACGTGCAGGTCTGAAGCAGGAGAGAGGCGGGAGGGCCACCTTAGATTGCCCAAGCTTGGCCTCCGTCTCCCTCTCCCCACACTCTCCTTCAAATATAGAAACGTGTTTGAGGCCGTGTGCGTACGTGTGTGGCTCTGCTGAGTACGTGCATGGCTAGGTCTGCCTTGCGTCCTCTCTACTAGCTGAGGAAAAGATTCCTGCTAACCAGAGAGGACTACACAATCGATTAGGGTCGAGGAGAGGGGGAGCGGGGACTTCAAAAATTCTCCGGTGCAGCCTAAGAATTCAGGCCTGCTGTTTCTTCTAACTTCTAGTCTTTGTATCTATCCATCCATCTACTATTTGTACCCCCCCACGTACATAACAGATTCACATTTTTTAAAAGTACACGGTGGAGAAAGGTATGTTATAAAAGTCCCCTTCTTCTATCTCTACTTTTCAAGTTCCCCGATCCACTCTGCAGAATCAACAGGACACAACCACTTTCTGTGATTAAGGCTTGAGTTAGCTGGGAATACAAACAGCCAGATCTTCCTTTGAAGGGCTGCCCTGGGAACATCGAATGAATTTAGCCCTTTCTGGTGGGTGCTAGCGTTTGGCTCTTAATTACTCCTTCACAAGTAGAAGGTGTCCCAGGTGGGCAGTGGGATCATCTGCTTGTAGGAACAGTATGCTTTAGGAGCCGTGCATCCTCTTCGACTTGACAGTGAGAGGGGAAAGGGCGCGGTTAAGTGTGGGAGGGAGGTAAAAACATCCTCCAGAGTATTTTTGACATGAGTTCTCCTAGCCTAATGAGGAATGGGGGGAAACGTCAGGCAAGTGCCCTGCTCAGGACAGATCCTTCTCTCATAACACAAGCTTTGGCGAACAAAATGAGGCTTCCCTTGGGGTCTCTTCACTCGGAGAACGAAGATGTCTGCAAGCACAATTCAAATGAGGATTTACATTCCTTTTCCTGAAAATTAATGAGGCCCATCTACATCTTCTTGAAAAGGCTGAGAATTATTTCACCAAAATCACAGCCACAAAATATTAAAAGAGCAGTCTTTAAAGTGATATTAGTAGGACAGCTGGCAAAATTGGAATAAGATGTATGGATTACACAATCATATTGTACTAATGTTGATTTGCTTTTTTTTTTTTTTTTTTTTGGTTTGCTGATTTTGAAAATTAGTACTGTGGTCATGTAAAACAATGTCCTTGCTTTTGCAAAATGTACACCAAGGTCTCTATACGTAAATATATACCACTTACTCTCAAATTTATTTAAAAATATATAGTTAGGGACAATGCTAAGCCATTGTTAACATTTGGACAATTGGGATAAACAGCATATGGAAAATTTTATACTATTTTTACATTTTTTTCTGAAATCTGAAATTCTTTCAAATCAAACAAAAAAGAATATTTTGGGCACAAAAAGTCTTTACTTGAAAACAGTGAGTACCAAAAAGAAGATGTCAAGTGAGGCCCTTCTTTGACAACTCTGTGACAGGGTCTTCCTCCACTGTTAAAATTATATAAGGGAGGGCCAGGGATTTAGCTCAGTGGTTCCATTGCCTGCCTCACAAGCGCAAGGTCCCGAGTTCGATCCCCTGTACCAAAAACAAATTATATAAGGGTTCTAACTGCTCTTTCAAGTGCATTGATTCCAATGGTTCCTTAATAGTTTACAATCTCTGCTTAAAAGGGGCCGGGGAGGCAGCTCAGTGGCACCTCGCCTGACTGGAAAGCACAAGGTCCTGAGTTCAATCCCCAATACAAAAAAAAAAAACCCTCTGCTTAAAAGATTCTTTAAAACTGTCACCTTCCAAACTGGGCATGGTGGCACATGCCTGTAATCCCAGCACCCCAGAGGCTGACGCAAGAGGATTGCCGAAAGTTTGAGGACAGCCTGGGCTACATAGTGAGTTCAGGGCCAGCCTGAACTACAAAGGGAGACCCTGCCTCAAAAAAACCTGTCACCTTCCTCAAGCATCTGCATTCCAGTTTTCCTGTATGTTCTCTGTCTTCTCATTCCCTTGAAAGCATAGTGTTAAACAATGTTAACATCATCTTGTGGCTTCACAGATTGTACCTGGTGGAGGTTTTTATTCTTCAAGACCAACCATGATATAGGAAAGATCTTTTCATTATTGCTATTGAATGGGGGAAGGAGACAAAAAAAGGCAGCCCTGGACCTACCACATTTAGACTCAGCTTTTCTTTTTTTAATTTTCGTTTTTTCTTAACTTTCTATGATTTTTGCCTTTCACATTTAAATTTTTTTGTACCACGGGGGAAAAAAGGCTATCAGGGGGAGCATTCCTCAGAAATTCTTTCAAAGCAGGATGAAGGAGAAAAATCAATGTTTTCTTTAGGAACCAGAGCTCAGAATAAAGGTGGTGTAAGGTCGGGGTACAGTCACATTCTTTACCAGTCGTTCTGGGAAGTTTTGGTTGAAGTGTCCATCCTTCCCTCCTGTCTTTCACTGCCACTTTGAAAAAACATCTAGAGTCCATATCTGCTTTGATGTGTTTTGGATACTCCCAGAACATTGACACTCTCCATTTTATTGGTCTTTTTGTTCCTTGGAGCAGTACCTCAATTTCTCTATATCATATCTTCTCAATAAGTCTTGCTATCTGGTGGAAAAGGTCTCCTGCCTTGTTTTGGCCATTCCTGGCCCTTTGCATTTCCATAGAAATTCTGGAATGAATTTTCAATTTCCACTTTAAAAAAAAACCCTGTTAATTTTTTGACAGGAATTACATCAAATCTGTAGACTAATTTAGGAATAGCTAAAATCTTTATAATATGGGGCACACTTAGATTTTTGATTGCTGATTATATTATGGAAATAATCTTACCTCAAGTAGTACAAAATATCAGGAAAAGAAGACACAGGGAAGGGTATCATTCTGAAATTCTTTCAAAGAATGAAGGAAGAAAACAAACATAGTTCCTTTAGGAAGCAGGATTTAGAACCATGATTCTGTACATTGCTTTTGAAATAGGTTATCCATCAGGGTCCAGCCTGGAAAATGAAACCAATAAAGGGAATTTGACAGAGGAATTAATATACAGGGTTTAGAAACCTGGAGAGGGCAAATAGGGAAAGGCAGAGAAAGCCAGAGATTAGCAACTACAGGCAGCTGCTACATCCCTAGAGAAGGAAGGATTGAGAAAGGAGGTGCCCTCCCTGGAGATCAGAAACACAGGCCACTTAGTAGGAGTTGGACCTCGTGGAGTAGGAAGACTGGATGTGGGGCCATGGCCCAGAAACTGATGGGAGCTGGAAACAGACAAGCAGCAGCCCCTGCTAGAGATGTATCCTCTTCCTCCCAAGAAGAGAAAGGGGGAGAAATAGGTTGGCTTCTCCTTTTCAGTGCAAGTGCCTCTTAGTGGCCAAACCTATGTGAGAACAAGTGACAAGGAAGCCTGGAAAACACAGTCACCCAGTGGCACACAACAGACCAGGGTGGGCTGAAGAGCAGACAGACAAAGGAATGGTGTATAGATCAAAGCATTTAGGGGTACAGGTACTGAATTCAGATTTCCTCTCAATTCACTACTTGATGTCATTTTGCTTTTATGAATGGTGATTATGGGCCAAGTGCGGTGGTGGATGTGTATTCCATGGTCAATCCCAATATCAGTGGCAGCAGTCAGGGAGTAAGGGCAAGAGAGGTGCGGGTAGACTCCAGCTGGGGAGAGAAAGCACAGCATGCTGGGAAGTGTCTCCATAGAAACAGTGGCTCTGTACAGGGCACCCACACAATTCCCTGTGTTTGTGGCCAACAGCATAAACATTTATCTCTGTGACGTTAAGGATTTTTTTTTGGGTACTGGGGATTGAACTTAGGACCTTGTGCTTGTGAGGCAGGTGGCAGAACCATTGAGCTAAATCCCTGGCCCTTTAAGGATATTTTTAAAGAGCACAACCAAGTAGTTTTGTCCTGGAATACATTTTTTCTTTTAGATACGGTCTCGGTATGTAGTCCAGGCTGACCTTGAACTCATGGTGATCCTCCTGGCTCAGTCTCCTGAGTGCTGGGATTACAGATGTGCACCACCATGTGGAGGATCAGTTTCTTATGTCAGGTCAGAGTCCTGATGCAAGTAGTCATTAAGAACTCTCAAACCAAACCTTCCTCTCAGGAGAGGATAGAAACTATTTTTCAAATACACCAAATGGTTGGCAAATAATTCTACATGAATTGAAAAAATTAACATTTATCAGGAGAAGTTAGGAGGTAAAGCCATAATCACTTGGGTGTTTTGAAGCAAGGGACGTTCTCCTTCAGTCTGGAGTTTGCACATAATGAAATGCATCAGATGAACAGAGTCATTTATTTGCTTATGTGTTTCAGAGGAAGCAAACTGCTCACATTGAGAAGGAGGTGGGCTAACTATGCTTTGGGTCTGAAGAATCACCAAGAGCACCGGGCTGTTGACAAAGTCCTTTTGGTTGGCAACATATCACCGAGTGAGGATCCAGAGAGGAGGGTGCTTTCTGTTCTCTTGGCTGTGCCTCCCATCGTAACATACACCTACCTGGTGGAGTAACTTAGTTTCCAAAGTAATTTCATAAATGCTGTGGGTTGGGTTTTTTAAAAAATTATGAGATAGTTTGCTTAGATCTCTAATGCTCACTTTATAGATTAGATTAGTTAAAATGAAAACCACAAAAATATCCTTTCCATAATCATAGTAGTAAGAAGTAGGGCTGAGCTTTCCTTTGGGTTCATTTCTTAAAATTAAGTTTTAAGATTTTTTTCTAAAAATTCAGCATATTAAGCCAGCACGGTAGTGCATACCTATAATCCCAGCACTTGTAAGGCTGAGGCAGAAAGATCGCCATGAGTTCCAGGCCAGTCTGGGCTACATAGTGTGATCAAGGCCAGCCTGAATTACAGAGTATGACTCTGTCTCAAAAGAAAAACAAAATAACACCAAAAAATTGAGCATGTTAGCCTACAGCCACATGGTGAACTGCACAAACCTTAAGTGTATAGATCACTAGAGTTTTATACACATATACAGCGGTGTAGTCACCATCACATCCAGAACATTCCCAGAACCCCAGAAAGTTCCCTCACCTTCCCGGAAATACTCCCACCAAACATAACTTCTGATGGCTACCACCATGGATTATTTTGGTCTGTCTTAAAGTTTTGTCTAAATGGCATTATACAGTATGTGTTCCTTTGTGTCTGACAACTTTCACCTGATATTAAAGCTGTGGAATTCCTCTATGTTGCTAGGTATAGCAATAAACAATTCATTCTCTATAATTGCTGTACAATATTCCATAATATGAATGTGGAACAATATATTTATATATTGTGTCTTTGGTTTATATTTGGATTGCTCCTGGTTTGGAAATATGAATAAGCACATTAAGAACACTTACATATACACGTGGTTGTTTTAATGTATATGCATTCACATTGACATTAGTAGATGCTAGTAGTTTTCTGAAAGGGTTGAGACAGGGCTGGGATTTAAATCTGGTTGTGGGTTGTCATGTGATGCTCTTCTGTGATGTAATACTCCCCAGTACAATCCTCATGGGTTCATGTGAGGGGTGCATCTTAATTCCAGGATGCCTTGGGTAGAAGGAGACTGAGGCACATTTTATTTACTGCACACATCTGCACAGGGCTTTGTCCTAGAGACAAAAGTTATCCTTGCTTTCTCAGTGGTACTGCACAGAGGCAACACGGAGAGACAGAGTACTGGAACCCACTGGGAAGCCAATCATTCATTTTGCTTCTTCCCCAACACTTCTCTACTTTAATGTTTGTTTCTGGAATGGACAGCAGAAAGGCTCGATCAACATGGCCAAAGATGCGAAGGTCTTCTTTGACGTCAGGAACCAAAGACTTGTGAGAGATGCCATTCCTCTACCTGGAAGGCTGGGTTCAGATAAGTCACTGGACTGGCCCAGAGTCAATGAAGAGCCTAAGACACTGTTCCAGGGTCGGGGGGAAGGTTTGATAGCATGTGCTTAAAAGTCAACTGGGAGAGGAGAACTGAACCTGTTTCCTGAATCTGCCTTCCAAGTTCTGCATGTGCAGGATATAGGATTGAAAAATGTATGCATATTGTTTATACATATTGGTGTGTCAATGGGAGAAGAAATGCTCTGACTGGCCCTGAATTCAGGACGAACTCCCCCAAAGATAAAAGAAGATGGGTTCAGATCAAAGAGAAAAATCAATCTCTTGGATAGGACTAATGCAAAAGATCAGGGCAGCTTTGGGGTTCCCAGGAGCAGAAGTAGCCCGGGGTGGCCAACTGCTGAGAAGTCTGAGTGGGGTTCCTGGTGGAAGTGCAAGTGTGTGCCCCTTCTGCCTCTACTGCTTGTGCTAAGCAGAGGGTAGCTGAGAAGTCAGACCTTCATCCCGTTCTGGTGGGGTTTTTTACCCCGTGGTGGCATTTTCCCTCCATCTCTGATGTCTTGATAATCCACAGCTTTTCTCTTCACCATCGCATAAAGCTTTCACTATATGGTGCTCTTCCTAGGGATTTTTGAAGTTTGGTCTCATTCCAGTATAGGTATTTAAATATGTGGCATTTCCTGCACTCAACAAGATTGACAGTTTAGATTCCAGAAGAATCTTGCGCCAAGTGTTTGAGGTCTCCCTCTCCTCCTCTGCCTGCTGAATTCCCTCCGTTCTCGCTGCACTCATCCTCAGGAGTCACAGGATATAAGTTGTTTCTGCCTCTGATTTTGAGAGATTTGGCTGACTTTGATCTGAGAGGAGGCATTCTTCTGCTGAAATGGAATTTTTAATTATTTATGGTGAATATTAGAGCATACCAACTCCCAGGCAGCCTTCTCAACAAAAAAGTGTTTTCTAAATGTAGACTCCAGGAAAACTTCATGTAGGCTAATTTCAGTTTTATACCTATGAATATTTTATTGCCCAATAACTCATAATGGCCCTCAAGGAGCCATTACTATTAAGTAAATATGCATAATCTGAAGCCTCCCAAGATGAAATTGCCTGTATTTTTGTTCTGGGTAACAAAGATACAGATGTATAGTGGGCCTCTTCTCATACATTTTATTAAAGGATTGCTCTCCCTTTCTCTCCCAACCCCCCAGCTGCATTTCCTCTCTTTTACATTCACTCACAAATCTCAGAAAAGAGCACCAAAGAATTTTATATTGCCATACAAACATGTTACTGTTTGGAAATATAAATTGCCAAGGGATGAGTGAGTCTCAACTCAACCTTTTTATCTTTTAGAAGGCACAGCCAGGGATTTAGTTCAGTGGTTCTGCAACCGCAAGGTCCCGAATTCGATCCCTGGTACCAAAAAAAAAAGAAAGGCATATTATCTTATGAGGTATAAAAGTAAATATTCGAAAATTTACTGAATTTGATCCTCCTCCATATCCTAGAAGCACAGTGGAGGCAGAATCCATAACTAACTTTGGAAAGGAGAAAGAACCTTGCAGGAATGCGACTCAAGGAGCAAAGTGGAACCCCAGGTCCTACAGATTAAAACAGAAGCATCAGGGTTTCTCAGACCCAATTCTACTGAAAGATGAGCTAATTTCTAGCCCAGAGGTGGAAAAGGAAAGGGCATCCAAAAAACCTCTGCTCAATTCTAGCCATGGACTAGGGGGAGGGTGCGAGGTTAGAGAAACAAGAAGAAAGGGAGTAGTCTCTAGGAAAAGGGTCTGGTCACTGTGAAATGAACCCTAGTCCTTTGTTTCCTAAATTTACCCAGACTCCATTAAATGGATAGACAGTGTTCTTCAAAAGATAGAGCAATCGGAAAAAATATAGAGCAACTGTTTGTTTGCATGGAAATTCAGTATTTCACTGTAATATGCTGGACAGCATTTTGACAGTGAGGTTGTAGAGGGAGAAAGGAAACAGGGAGTATAAACAAGAGGCTGAGTGTAACACACACAAGTCCTACCCCTCTGCTCCAGGAGAGCCTGCGTAATGGCATTCTTGGAAGCTGCTACTTCTTGCTTTGAGGGAAGCAGGTACATACAAGGTCATGTAAGGCCCAGAGCAGGTGTTTAAATGCCAAGGAAGTCAGTGGCCTCTGATTTCCATTTCATACCTCTTTTCCATTTCTCCTGGTCTTCCCTTATGAAGGAAGACACAAGACAGCTTTGGGGGATGAGGAGGCAGTAGCTCAGAGACCATGCCAGCCTCCGTGTCAGTCTGGTCTAGAGTAAGCATCCTCATGTCCCAGCTTACATCACCTGTGGGTTCCTTGAGGACCTGATTAACATTCCACCACACCAGGCCTGAAAGTGAAGAGGTGATTCGCACAAAATGTGCTATAATGAAGTGTTAATGAATGCTGGGAGGCTCAAGATCAAAATTGTCCCTGGAGCCATTTCGTAACAACTTGCGGAGAGAGTACACTAGTAGAATTTCAGACTCATTGCAGAACTCCACTAGAGACATGCTTCAAGTAAGAACCTTCTCAGCATTCCTCAGTCCATAACCCATGAGTCATGGCCCTCTCAGTGGAATGATTCCACTCTGAAACAATAACCATGATAACATCCTGGGGGTGCAGGGAGCCTCCTGAAGTGGACATTCCTGTGAGCAGTGGGTTGGGAGGCCTTGCAGGACTCCTGGGAGGAGGCTGTGAGTTTTATTTCTGCATTCCAACAGCATCTGGCCCAACCTCAACCTCAACAATGATTCTGTGGTCTGGGTGGTCTGCATCTCAGAGGGTTAAGCAGATGTTGGTCTTAGGGCACTTCAGCCCTTCTGCAGTTCTCATCTGCCCACTACTAATACACCACACCCTACACTTATGGGCTCAGCTGTGTCTGACTCTCAGGGTTTCCTGGGGCTTCTGTTAGATGCACAGAATTCAGCAACAGCACACATTTACATAGGGTCTGGGCCATCTGGGAATCAGTTCTAGTAATTTTTCTTCTCTCCCTCTTTTCTTTCTCTTTCTCTCTTTCTTTTGTTTTTTCCTTCATCTTCCTATCTTCTTTGTTTGTCTTTTTGTGTGGCAGTACTTGGGATTGAACCCATGGAGCTACATCCCCAGCCAAGTTTTAATTTTTTAAATTTTGAGACAGGGTCTTACTGAGGCATCAGGTTGCCAGGGCTGGGCTCAAGCCTGTGACCCTCTTGCCTCAGAGTGCTGGGATTACAGGTGGACGCCACCACACCTGGCCTGGTCTTCTTTCTGATTCACCTCTGACCCATTCCTAGCCATCTTCACTGTACACCAAGATTATATAATATATGGTTAAAAGTGTGGGACCTCGGGTCAAATCTATCTAGGCTATTTGTCAGCTGTGTGATTGTGGACAAGTAACTTCCGTCTATGACAATTGCCTTCCTTACCTACAAGAGAGGGACAGTAGTGCCAACCTCAGGCCTGGGGTGTACAGCAGATGAGCCAGGTTTGGGAAATCCTTTGCTACTGTGACTGCTTCATGGTAGCATTCAAGACATCGTAGCTGCTGTTATGATTTAAAACGTAACAACTTGGCCGGGCTGGGGATTTAGCTCTGTGGCACCGCACCTGCCTTTCAAGTGCTAGGTCCTGAGTTTGATCCCCAGTACCGCAAAAAAATTTTTAAAAACATAACAACTTTACTGAGCTATAATTTACATACAACAGAATTTGGAAGTGTGCAGTTCAGTGGAGTTTTCAGTGTATTTATGGACTCATACACCACTCCCACCAAGTCACTATCACCCATCACCTGCATAAGTGAAGGGCCTCCTCACTGGTGTCCTTGCTCTGGCCTTGTCTCTCTGTAGTTCACCCCTGTAGGGGCCAGACAGAGCACACCGAGCCAATTAGTCAGGCCATGCCAGTCCTCTGCTCAAAGTGCTCCAATGGCTCTTGTCTCACAAAGTGAGTCCTTCCACTCGCTGCCAGGCCTTCATGATTTCTTCCTGGTACCTCTCTCATGTCTCCTCTCACTTTCCCATCACACACGCTTCTCCAGTGACACTGCCTCTGAAACCTGCCACGCATCCTCCTGCCCCTGGTTCTTTGCACTTCCAGTACCCTTGTATAGGGCGAAAGATCTACCTTCTCCCTCTCCCTCCCTCCTTTACAGCTTTGCTTCAATGCCATGTGTTCAGTGAGGCCTTCACGGGCTTTCCCATCTCCCTCTGATGGCATTCTCTATCCTCTCTCCTGGTTCACTGATCTCCAAGTATTTGTTACTCCCAGCAAAATGCTATCCATGTTTTACTGGTTTGTTTCCACCTATCTCTCTCACTGGAGTATTAGCTTGCCGAGGGCAAGGGGGTTGCCGGTTTCATTCTGTACTCCATCCCCAGCACCTAGAACAGGGCTGGCTCATAGTGGCTGCACAAGACATCTGGTTTTCACTGGATATGTATTGCATCTGCACCATCATAAAGCTGAAAAATTAACAAGTCACAACATCATTGGCGGTCGGGACTGTCTGTAAATTGGTTACAAGATTCTGAGTGTTTCCTTTGAGGAAATGCAAAATAGAAAGTGGTGCCATAAAAATGCCAGAAGTTGGCAGGGAGCCCTCAGGGCTTCCATGGGAGGTGATTTTGAGCTGGCTTTTGAGTAAGCATGTGTAAGAGAGGCCTCTTCTGTCATGTGATGGTGAGTGACAGTAAAGACAAAGCAACATGCAGGGCACTATGGTCTTTACCCAGAAGCTGGCTCAGGCTAGCCAGAGAGAGCTGACTGTTCAATCTGCAGGAAGTTCAACCATTGGTTGCTATCTCAGTGGGAGCTTGAACTTGGTCATGGTGGGAAAAATTACTGCCAGAACTCAGCTGTATAAATACCACACCACCACCACCACCACCCTCCCCCACCAAGCCAAGAGAGCTGTTTGCTAAACACTGAGCAGCACTGCCCCGGGCACAGGAAAGATGTACTCCCACGGCTTGTCTGAGCAGTGGCTATAGCAGCTGTCAGTCAGGGACAGTACGCCCAGGTGATGGATGCTGGGCCTTGATGGTAGAGGATACCTGGACACACAAAAGCCAATGTGCTGAGTGGAATAGGACACCCTAAATGCATGTCCACCTGGAGCCTCAGAATGTGACTTTATTTTGCAAATAGGGTCTTTGAAGATGTGAATAATTAAGATGATATTGCATTGGACTAGAGTGGTCCCTAAGTCCAATGACTGGTGTCTTTCCAGGAGAGGGAGCTTTGGATATGGAGACACAGAGGAGACAGGAAGAGGGACACAGGAATTGGAGTGACACAGAGCTGGGGATGTAGCTCGGGGCAGAGCATTTGCTTAGCCTGCACAAGGCCCTGGGTTAATCCCCAGTACAGGGACGAAAGCTGGAGAGCTACAGCTACAGGTCAAAGAACAGCAAGGATTGCTGATGGCCCCCTCAAAACAAGCAACGCACATGATGGATTATTTTCCCGAGTCCAGAGGGCCCTGCTGACACCTTAATTTCAGACTCGTAGCCCCAGAACTGTAAAAGGATAAATGTATATTGTGTTAAGCCACCGCTTGTGGTAATTTGTCACCGCAGCCCTAGGAAGCTAACACAGACCTGGATGAATAAGGACAAAGAGGTGGGGATGCATAAGGGGTGTCTGAGGGGCAGAAGAAGAAGCGGTCCCAATTACTGAGGCCATTAGATGCTGCCTCCATCCCTGGGCTGTGCTTCCCAGGTTGTAAACATTATCTATGTTATCTTTAACATACTCCTGTGAGGTAAGGGTTCTGAAGTTCTTTTTGAAGATCAAAAACAAATAAACAAACAAAAAAACCCCCAACATCTAGAGAAGTTAACCAACTTGCTCAAG